ATGTATTCTTAGGTTTATTAATTTAAAGTTAAGATACTGCTTCGCTACAGCTCAAGTAATTGGAATTATTTAAGAAACGCCTTGCCTTCCCTCTGAAAAATTTGAGAAATGTGACTTGTAAAGCCATTATAAGGCAAGTAGAGGATACTGTCACTAATGTGACTTAATGCCAATAATGTATAGATGAGACATCACAACACAATCAAAAGATCTTTGCCTTTGTTTTGTGTAAACCCAATTAATTCTAGATAAACTAGTTTAGTTTTTATAAAGAAGAGTGTAAGTTGACTGCTATTTATCTTTTTCTTTCCCATCACATTTTGAAAAAAATATTGAAATTTTGGACTTGCCTTTTATGGAACAGCTTGTAATGCAGTATGTAATAAGAGGCCACACTGGGGTACTTTCAAAGTTGGCATTAAAAAAAAAAAAGGAGTGTTAATGGCCACTGCATGGGTCTTTATTTGGAAATGGATCAAGAATGGTAAAGCAACGTCAAAAATCATGATGGATAATTTAAGTACTTTTATAAGCTATATCTGTAGATTGTCCAACTAAATAAAGAATGATTTGTTTCTTTAAACTTCTGTTGGAATGACTAGCACAAGTTTAGCAACATCACTGCTAACATTCATAGTTGACAGGATTTTATAATTGTATAAGATATGCATTCATGTGTTTAAAGCTTAGGAACTATGTTGGCTTTTATGTCTGAAATGCAATGTTTTTTCCAAAATCTTGCATAATTTTAAATATAGGTTTTTGATATTAAAGTTCATTGCAAATATGATGATTGATTGTAATTTTAGACTAGAAATTTTTTCCTTTCATTTGGCTTTCCTACCATTAATTGTGCATTATATACTTAGTTATCTAGAATTTTCACTCATTCATTTTTTTTCCTGAGCTTTCCAAAAGTAGTATCAACCAAACATTAAATTTTGATTATTTTAAAATGTAAAGCTTTTATTTTATCTTCCTTATATTACATATTAAATTAAATATATAAGTTAAAAATTTGAAATACATATGTATACAGGATGTTGCAGAATAAATGAGGTGATGTGAAATTCTTGCTTGTTGCATATGCTAGGCTAGAGTTTCATTCACTATGACTGTACTTAGAACAGTTTGAAAGAAGCCTTTTGTTTAAAGTTGTTGCCATATAAACATGCATTTGTTTAGCATAATTTTTAAAAAATAATGATTCAGATATCTGAATTTGCTATTCTAACACAGTATACATCTACCACTTACAGTATACATCTACCAACTTATAATAAAATTTCCATTTTAGAATCTAGGATCGTATCTTTTCTTCTGGCATCAACTTCTAAGAGTTCTAACCAGTAGCTAAACATTTTACCAAAGGCCCTTAGTAATCATAATAAATTAAGAGGTGTATTGAAAAATACACCACACCCGAAGGCGAGATCGAAGTCATGAGACAAACTTAGTAAATATAAATTTTAAATGCAATTAAATGGCATGTCATTAGCAGTGGTCGGTGCAAAATAAGTCCTAAGTTTCATAAAATTGCTGAATAAAACGTAAAATAAGACTGTAGAAATAACACCACGTGATGCGAGATGGCCGTAGCGAGTGAAGGAGTCATAAGACCGCGAACTAAAATTTTTCACTGTAAGCAAAGTCTTTGCTATAAAACACTTTACAGTACTAAATAAATTCTTGGTTAAATAGAAATAATAAGTAAAATGAGTAAGTAATATAAGTTGCAATCAAAGTCCATAAGCTTTGTTAGAGCATAGTTCCAAAACATAAGCAAAACTTGATAAAATGAAGAGTATTAAAATACGTGAAATAAGTAGAATAAAATATACATACTGTACACTACCACCATAATGCATTATAATGGATAGTTCGCGGTCTTTTTTTACTACATGTTCCTCTGTGGGATCATAGTTTGCGAGTTCTTTAATAGCTGGGTTTTGCGAGTTTTTCATTTTTCAAAGAACTTACTTCCATTTTAAAATATGCAGTGTTTGTGTCTGCATTTTATTTTTAAACATAAAGTGGTATAAACAGAAGAATAATAAAGTATTTAAAATATATATTACTGTTCAAATAAAATTATAAATAGTAATATGCATAAATAACAAATTATAAATTTCATAAATTTATATACTTGTATTATAAATCAACATTTGCTACAAAATAAAATGACTTTTTAATTGATTAATTGTACAATGTCCGAGCTGTTAAATAGAAGTCCAACCTCTCTTTGGAGTCAGCTCTGGCAACCATTCTTCCATGTAATATGGACAAGACAACAAATGTATGATGCTGTATTGAGTATCCTTTGTTTATGATATTGAGGATGAGAGTTAGATGTTTTCTAGCATCAATTTGTAATAATATTTGTTTGTAATAGATGTGATTTCATTGAAACTGAAAGTAATAATACTATGTTTAATATTTTTCTAACATCCTTGCATATGAGGGTAAGGTGTAAAGTTCTTGGTGTAACAACGAGATTGTGACTTTCAGTTAAAAAATTATTCTGTTTTTCTACATAATCTCCCTTGACTTCACTTGGTCCAGCATCTCCCAGAAGTTAGAGTCTGAAAGGTTGTGAAAATATTCGTATACAACCCTCTCAATTTCTTCATTGGATGTGAAGTGCTTCCCAGAAACAAATTTCTTTAAGTTTGGAAACAGATGGAAGTTTGACGGTGCCACATCAGGAGAATAGGGAGGATGGCTGAGCAAATTGTACCCCAAATCCTGCAGTTTTCCTATTGTTAATACACCCTTGTGCACAGGTGCATTGTCCTGGTGAAAGATGATTTTTTTCTTCTTCAAGCCAGGCCTCTTCCCGTGAATTTTGATATCCAGCTGGTCAAGAAGGTTGCAGCAATATTCACCCGTAATTGTTCTTCCCTTTTCAAAATAATCAATTAAAAGGCTTCCTTTTTCATCCCTGGCCATGACCTTTCCAGCAATGGGATCAACTTCTTCGGCACTGAACCACTGGCTTCCACCCGCTACTTAGACTGCTTTCTGGTGTGTAGTGGTGAATCCACGCCTTGGAGCACAAAATCGGTCGGATCCCTGCTGAATCAGGCCAAAGATTGCTGCAAAAATCGTTTGCACATTTGCTTTCAATCAGCATTCAGCAAATGTGGCACCCATCTTGTGCAGAGCTTTTCATCCCTAATTCTTTGTGCAAGATGTTTCACACTTTCCTCTCATATCCCCATAGCTTCACTTGCCTGTTGTCCAACACAATATCAAGCTGGTTTTCTATGGTTTCCGGTGTGGTTGCGGTTTTTGGCCATCCTTCACACGAGTCATCTTCGAGGGATGTGCAACAACATTTAAATTCAGCTACCCGCTTTTTAACAGTCGACATGGAAGGAGCAAAGTCTCTGTACACTTTTGTCAACTTTGGATGAATTCCCTTAGGGGTTAATCCATTCCAAACGAAGAATTTATGACCACATGTTATTCAAGTTTATGTAAACAAACTACTTGAGAAAACAAGTTGAAACTGGTCATATGAACTAATGACAGGTACACCAAGATGGGAAAGTTTTGCTGATTGGAGTGCCATCTTTGGGTCAGGCCGAGAACTCGCCTTACCCTCGTAAGTGCAAGAGTTGAATTCAGAATATTCATTTTATTACCTTCAACTGTAACAAACTTTATGCAAAATGACCTGCTATTTTATTTCCATAAAAGCTGATGAAAGTAGAGTAGATGTATAAATGAATTTTCTTTTTATTATAAATTTATTATTGCATTTTTCTGTGCTAGCTATTTCAAAATTTGTTTATTAATTAATTGAAGAAATTTATCATTTAACAAGAACATTAATTTTGAAACTGTTATAGTGATTAAAATTTATAAAAATTAGTGGCATAAAGATTAATTTCAAATGCATTTTTCAGTATGGATAAAACGTTTTTTTAACTTAATTATTTCAAATTTTATTTTGTAGATGTGAATTTTTTGATACTAACCTTCAAGCTACTTTGGAACAAATTGAGAAAACTGGCATGAGTAATATTTAATTATATACGAGTTATAAATACTGTGAGATATGTAAATGCAAAATAAATTTTGACATTTTTAAAAACGTTTTTATAGACAACTAACTTTTAATGATTGTTTTTCTTAAATTATCTTATTAATACATAGTGTGGAGAAATTGTTTTGTACAAAAAATTATTGAACAAGATTAAATATGTGCAATCATCAACATGAACGCTCCATATGTACACATTAGTAAATGACCTGCAGTTTTTTTGTGCATACAAATTCATTTTTGCAGCTTCATAAAAATCAGTACATAAAAATGTATATACATAGCTTAGAGACTGTAATCTGAAGTAATAAAATCCATTGCTGTTAATGTTTTCTATAAATTATGGCTTTAAATTTGAAGTTTGTATGAAATTTCTTAAAAAAAAATTATGTTTAAGGATGCAGAAAGAAATTTCAGGAACAGAAGTATTTAAAATTTACATGTAAAGAAGAGAATAACTATACGAAGTCTAAAATCCAGACCTCAGGACCCACCAGCAAATTTTTTTGCAAAAAGGGAGAAAGAATTACATTCCCAGAGAGTAATGGCATATGCTTAATATATGCATAGTAGACCTTTATCTTGATAATAAAGCACACAGAAAGATTTTTAGTTTCACCTTTTCACTTCAGAGCTAAAAATAAAAAAAAAAATACGAATCAACTTATATCCCCGATTCCAAACTGGCCAATCAATTTTTGCTTTCATCACCACATGACTATTAATTCATGACAGCTTAAGAAATAAATCATGATTTGATGGATAAAAAAAGTTTTTTTTTTTAAATGTTTAGTATTTAAATACCAAACAGTGTGGTAACCTTTTGAAATGTTGATGAGGAGAAATTTAAGATATTCTTTTCCATATGCAAAAAATAGATTGTATAAATGATATTTATAGTTCAAAAGATTTAGCGCCATTTGAATTAAGAATAACGGATTTGTTGTTCAGATAAATATATGCAGAAACTTGTTTATTCAGGAAAGCTATAAGCAGATGCAGGAATAGACGTAAATATAACTAATACAATTCAGGCTTAACTTCCTCAGCATGCGATAGAAGCAAGATAAAATTTAGCAAAATTACACATCTCTAGTCACGAATCTCATGTTATGTTGCACACAGTGGATGTTAAAATTTATGATATAGTTAAAAAACAAAAATTTTCAATTAACGGAATTTTTGAGAAAATGTGGTGAAATGATACTAAATGAAGATGATATAAAAATAGATGATAATAGAAGTTTCCCATTGCAATGATAGTGCCCTAATCACCAGTCAACTAACTAATGGACAACAAAATTCTGTAGTATGATTCTTAATCTGGAAAATATCACTTCTGATTATGAAGAAAGTAACAGAGGTTGCTGAGGATAAAAGATTCTCAGTTGACAATAGTGTCAACAATTAAGGGGCATGAACAAGGAATTATGTCCATCTATTTTTATAGATGGACAGAAATTAGAGAAACTATTAGCACAAAAAAATGGAGCAACTGAAACAACTTACACTGGAAGAAATGTTCAATAAAACAAATATGGAGCTTTTTTTGTACATTTTGATTTTTGTAAAATCATAAATGCCTCATTATTCCATATTTTTAATTTTATAATTTATACATGTCATCTTACTCATTTTAAATTGAAGATCTAAAACCAACTCCGAAATCCAAAATTACCAGTCCTAATGCATTCAGATCTCAGACTTTATACTGTATTATTATTTTATACTCAGTTAAAAGAGAAATTTGGGACAGTCAATAGTTAAATGTGAAGGAAACATTAGGATTTTGATTTGAATAAACTCAACTAATTGATGACTAACTTGACATTGTATGTATGTTTTAACATGTATTCCAGTGAAAAAGCGTAACTCATTAATTATCATACAGAGTAAGTTTCATTTGTAATGCCATTTAGACAGCAACGAGATAAATCAGGTTTGGCTGTTCGATATGAATGCAGAGAAAAATAGAAGTTTTGAACCAATTTGTGAAATTAGTTGAAAGGAAAACATGATTAAGAATGTCATATTTTATAAACCCTAGTATTAATTGCTGATCCATATGTTATTGTTGCATAAATAAATACTGATAATTTTAGAACCAAATTTTTATTAGTTTTTAAAAATAATTTTTGGTGTATTTTGTTATCACAGCTTTATGTAATTTTTAAAACTGAAAATATTTACTTGCATAGTGTTTTCAAAGTTTGGACTATTTTATAATATAAGAAATAGCTATTTTATAATATAAGAAATTGAATTTTAATCACCTACTTGCTAGTACAGTTTATATGACATAACTTCTATTTTATCAGAATATCTTTCAGCAATCAAATCTTATAACTTTTAAATACCATGTTTGCTTTTTTTTAAACTAACAACTAATTATCATTCATAAAGCTTAATACATAGTTTGGTCAGCATTATCTAATAGGTTTCAAAATTTCTTTTTTAAAAGAGTTGATCAAATTATGAAATTAAGAGCTATTGAGGAATATTAAACAAATTTTTAATAACATTTATTATTAAATAAATGCAGAAGAGAAAATAGATATTGCCATAGGGATTAATCCAGTAACAATTTTTAAACATAATACAAATATATAATAAAAAATCTATAAAACATCAAAATGTGTAACATTCATAAAAGAAATTAAAACTTAAAAATAAAATTAAATTATAGGCCAATTTGGACAATTGCTTTATTTTTTAAAAACTTTTCAGCGAGTTTGTAATAAAAAAAAATTTTCTGACTAAATAAATAAATAAATAAATAAATAAATAAATAAAAAAAGCATTTCTAAAAAAAAGCTGCCTGATTTAAGGAGCTTTTTTAAGATGAATGTTAAAAATACAATAACTTTAAAAAGTACTTTTTCCCAGAAAATTTAGAATTTTCATATCTAGTAAAAAAAAAAAAATGTACAACATAACCCAGTACAAAATCTTTATTCCGGACTTGTCGGGACTTCGGCAATTCCAGATTATAGATCATCAATTTAAACAGGTAAGATGGCATGCAGAAATTATAAAATTAAAAATATAAAACCGTAATTTATGAAATAAAGTGCAATTATGATCTAAAGGGTATAAAAATTTACAAAAAAAAAAAAAAGCTTAATATGTATTTGTTTACTTTATTAAAAACATTTCTTTCAATGTAAGTTGTTTAACTTGCTTTGTTTTTCGTGCTAATACTTTCTCTTTAATTCTATAAACAGACATAATTTCTTGTTTAGTTCCACTGTTCAAGTCCTGTAATTGCTGTGTCGAGAATACCGACTAACTTGTGAATCGAAATTTTTTCGTTTTCAATAACCTCTCTGTTACTTTCTTCACTATCGGAGGTGGTACATCAAAACATGCTTTCACTTTGTAGATCCTTTGACAGCTCCAGAATTGGAAACTCTTTTTGACATGATCTAAAGTTCAAGCTTACTTTTTTTAAAATTCTCTAACAATCTTCAAAAAATAATAAGCCGGATCCAATTAGAAGGTTAAGGAACAACGTAATCTGCAACATTAACTGAAATAGATAATTAGATAATTTTAGCCTAGCTTATACCGTCCGTTATATATTTAACACGCATGCGTAAACGTATTATGCGCATGCGTTTATGCATGCGCAGAAAGTTTGTAGCTTTGAGGTCCGAATTATAGATCATTCCGGATTAAAGACTTTGTACTGTACAAATATATAATAAAAAATCTATAAAACATCAAAACATTCATAAAAGGAATTAAAACTTTGGAATGAAATTATAAGCAATTTGACAATTGCTCTATTTTATTTTTTAAACTTTTCAGCCAGTTAGTAATACAAAAATTTTCTGACTAAATAAATAATTAAAAAAAAAAAAAGAAAGAAAGAAAGAAAGAAAAAGAAATGCATTTCTAA